ACAAGATAAACACAATCATGGCTGACAGTCATACCCGTGGTGCCTGCATCTGGGAAGCGCAGTCATCCCGCTCGTCGGAGGCCGATCCGGAACTCTACGTCAACCATGATTGTAAGAACGTGCTCGCCAGCTGTTCTCCCTCCTCCCCGTCGCCTACGTCTTCGGTGGCTTCGCTTCCAGCAGCACATGTCCCCTCGTCGACCTGGCCTACATCGAGCACCAGCGGCCCTGGGAGTTTTGTGGCTACTTCTGCGGCCACGTCTTCGTCTGCCCCCACGTCTTCTGCGAGCGCTTCTTCTGCGCCAGCCTCCTGCTCGTCAGGGGGCGCAGCGGCGGTTCTTTTGTGGTCCTTGAGTGGCCAGGCAGGGCAGTTTCTGCCCGGGTAGCCTCTTCGCATGGCTCTTGGAATGCGAGGGCTCTTCTTTTCGCTCCCTCTCTACCTCCTTCCTCCACTGTGTCAAAAAGTTTCAAGCGTTGGCCAGGTCTTCGAGGACAATTGGTGCCATCTGCGCGCGAGAGACGCGCGGTCAGGAGGGGGACTTGAGCTCTGTCGGAACATGTTGCCATGAGTTACAGGTCTTCGCTTCCATCGTGCCAGGCGCCCATGCCGGAGGGATTGTTTGCCTGGTGCGCAGAACGCTCAGTTTCCGGTTCGACTTTGCCAATTCTTACGAGTGCTTTACTGGTTGCATCTTGTACTCTCCCTCGCTGGGGCAGAAGGTATCTTGCAATTATGGGCTCCATTTGGATCCAGACTGGTCTGGGGGCCAGTCGCGGAATGCTTTTGGCAGTCTCTCGCGTCATCTCATTCCTCGTATTCAGCCTGAAGTGTTCTGAGAGGGAGCATCAATTCTCACGAGCAAGGTGAATCACGGTGCTATGTCCTTCCCCCTTTGGTTGCATCTGTCCCAAGTATTGCGAGGTAGGGCAGGCTGCTTGCTGTCTCTCGTGATCGTCAACCGCGCGCCGGTTTGGATGCAGTGCGCGCGAACAGGATGCCCCGACCCTTCTTAGTTATAGGCCTATCGCTGGTGTGTCTGGGGGTATTACTGCGATAGACGAGCCATCTTATCATGTTCCTGTTCTCCTGCGCTTGCATTCGCAGCGGGCCCTTGAGACAGGTGCGCAGAATATTCCTCCGCGGGTCGCCCGTCGCCCCCAATTTCAGAGGGGCGTTGAAGGGGGCGTCGCGTCAACTAGCCCTATAATGAGTTAGGCCTGCTCGTTAACCTAGAAACATTTTGCATCGTAGCTGCTGGCGTTCGCAGGGGCGCGAAGTCTCTGGGGCCGGATCTGACCCAGAGCGCGCTGCCTGCGCCCTCAAGCTCGCGCGAGCTGCCTGCCCCAGCAGCAGCGTGCATGCCCTCCGGGCCTACCGCGGGGATCGCACGCATTGCAAGCTTCTCAACCCCTTTCCAGCATGGCTTGGATTGCCCAGGGTGGTTTTCACGTGCATTCAGCTGAGCTGATGAGGTTGACAGAGTGAAGCCAGTGGTCTCTCAGCACGCATCAAGCTGAGTTGATGAGGCTTCACATGCATTTAGCTGAGTTGATGAGGCTTCACATGCATTTAGCTGAGCTGATGAGCTTGACTGAAGGCTGTGAAGAATGGGTGGTCTCTCAGCACGAGGAGGAGGAGGAGGAGGAGGAGGCCAACGACTTCGCGACGCGCGCGAAGGTCTTGCTGCCGCCGAGCAGGCTATGCGTTGAGTACGCCGTCTTGCCTCTGCCTGGGCTTCGGAGCGGCCGAGGATTATTCTCGCTGCTGTTCGCGGGCCGTTTTGCGAAGTGCCCCCCCCCCCCCCCTCCATCCCGTCTGAAGCCGCTGAACTTCTGGCCAACCGCAGAGGTGAGTTTATTTGACAGTGAAGCGCCCAAGAACGTCCTCGCTATCAGCCGCTGCCTGAGTTCATTCAAACAGCTGATGGTCCAGGCGAGCAGGGCGTTGCGGGCGCTCGCCTGAGGTCTGATCGGGCACTTGGCGGGTCCGCTTTCAGGGAGCTGTTGCATGCTGAGAATTCGGGCCCTGTCGCGCGCGCCGACCTTTGCCGCCGCATTCTTCTCGGTGGCCGTCTTCGCCATCAGTTCGACCGCTGCCGGGCTGTCGTTCTGCCCGAGGGGCGCCGCGAGAACGACGGGCAGGGGGGTGAAAGGGGCCCGACGTCGCTTGCCCGCTTTCGCTCTCGAGCAGCGGCGACAAAATCGCCCCGGCGCTGCCGTTGCTTCGGCGTCAAACCACGCCGCCGCTGAGACATGTCACGGCGCCCAGCGAGGTCGTGTCAATGGGGGGGGGGGGGGGGGGTCGATGAATGATAATATCTTCTCGATGGAGGGGGCGATGGCGGTGCGGGGCGCAGTTTTTCACGAGCAGAGGAGCGGTCTGGCCCTCTTCGACTTTGAGCGCTTTCCCGAGTGCCTGGCGTACCTGGATGCGTATTGGGTTCCACCGCGTGGGCCCGCCTGGTTTATTCACCGCGGCGATCGCTGCTCGTCGTGAAAACGCATGGGCCAGCGTTGTCATGAGAGATTTGGTCAAGTTCGGTTATTGTGCCCTCAGGGACACGAGCAAGGTTGCCCGCTCTGTAGCGCGCTATTTGCGTTCTGGGCCCCGCCATTCGTGCCGGATCCAACTGCGCCGTCGTCTCGAGTTTGAGTTCAGTGTGCGCGCCGACGACCTCTCGCTCGTTGCCAGGGATCTCATTTAATTCGCATCGCTTCATCCTGAAGCGCCTGGTATCCTCGGGGTCAGCGGCAGGCATTCACCTCAATTCACCTCAACCACCAGAAGTGTATCATCGTGATGCTCAATATTGACATTGAGCAAGGGGCCCTGCGTGGTTTCCAAACGCGTGGGCTGAGTTTGTCAAAGTTTTCCATTCGGAGGTCCAGGGAACTCCTGGGCGTTGCCATCGGACGGGATGGGCACCTTTCGTCTTGAACCCCTGTGGCCAACAAAATTGTGATTGCGCACCGGCGACTTGCGCAGAGCATCCGATCCCATGCTGGTCAGTCTTACCCTCCCAGCATAGCCATCTCAGAAGCGGATCAGAGTCTCATCAGCGACCTCCGCGTGCTCCTCGGCACTCCTTTCCCTCGACGGCGATGATCCACTTCGAGCGTTGGGGCTCACCGCCTGAGTGCAGGTCTATCGAGATTTTTCCCCGAGCCTCCGTCCTGGCGACTGCCACCAGGTCCGATCAGTCTCAGGTGATATGTGGACAGCTAGACGCCGCTGCACAAGATGATGAGTATTGTCCTGTATATGCGTTGCATCCTTTTTCAAAAAGTGCCTTCTTCTCCTTCTTCTTCGTGGAAATCATGGTATGCTGGGTACGTTGCTATCCCTGGTGCTTCTACGGAGAAGCCCCCCAACCAACTCCAACGTGCTACCACCAGGTCTTTATTACAGAGCCGGTCGTCTATCTACGCTAACCACCTCGTCATCAACCGTTTGACACATTGGGGCAGTAGCCGTACTTCTGTTGATGTTGATCTGACTACCATTCGCTTCCACACCTTAGGTATGACTTTTCATTTTTTAGAATCACGTTCGTTTTCAAGACCATGTTGAAGGCCTGGCCGACGACTAGGATATTCTGTCAAGCTACAGCTCAGTGTGTCTTCGGGTGCTCCTGTCCTGGGACCGAGACCATCCCGCGCCACTTTTTGCCCCATTGTTGTCCAGTGTATTCGTGAGTTGTTACCCCCGTTCCCCGATTTCCGGGGCGTCGATCCTGTTGCTAGCGCATTGTTTTACATATGTCCTGCGTGTTCGTCTGGTGTTTCATCATGTCTCGCTCAGGAGAAGATGTTTGCATGTGCTGTTGCTTCTGATTTGCTTTTCACTGCTTTCAATGCCTCCCGCAGGAAGGGGGGGGTGGGAGGCTAGCCGCCAGGAGGTCGACCATCCAGGCCATTCGCACTAGGGCGCGGCAGTCGCATTCCGGTCGTTCGTCACCCAGGAGTTGCTGCGCTAACGGGGGTGGTGCTCTTCCACAGGACAGGAGTCCTTTCACAAGGAGTTCCCACAGAGTTCCTCCTCCTCCTCCTCTTTCTTCGCACCCCTCTTCCTCTTGTTCCCCGTTTTTTCTCCTCCTTCTCCTCCTGTTGCCCCCTGCCCCTCCTGCCCCCCCTGCTGGGGGGCGGGTGGGCCGGCCCCGCCCCCGCGATTCTAGGGCCGCCCTCAGGCGGCGCTGCTGGCCTCTGGCCGCGGGGCAGCCGTTGTGGTCCAGGACGCTGGGGTGCGCTCCGAATGGGGGGAGATTCAAAAAGGGAGGAAGGACTTTCCCAGATGTGCCGGTACGTGTCCCTCGTTGTCTCCTTTTCGGGGCCTCCTGGGAGGCCCTCGTCGCCACCGCTGGATTAGCTTCGAGATTCTGGTCAGACCGCACCTCGGGAGAAATCCTGGGTAGCCTTGCCGGTAGCCTTCGGCTTCCCTAGGACTGCTTCGCCATGGAGGAAAACGAGTCCTGAGGGAAACGGGTCCGGTGTTCGTTGCTGTTTTTGTTTTTTCGGGTCCCTTCCGTGGGCTTCGGGATTGCCAGGAAATGACCCAGGATGAAGATTTTGTCTCGGGGGAAGGCCCCAGGGTCTAGGACCCGTTTCCCTCAGGATCCGTTTCCCCCATGCTAAAATGGCGTGAAGGAAAAAGGGGTGGAAGGAAGGGGGAAAGGGGGATGACGAGGAGGGGGAGGATGTTTCTAAAATCTCTGGGCCATGGCGCGCGTTATGCCCCCCCCAACCCCTCTCCCCCTTCCCCCCAATCATCACGTAACGCCCCCCCCCCCCCCTTGTGCGCCACGGCACTGCCGCAGTGCGGGCGTGCAACACAGTTTCGCACCATGGTGCGGTCGCAGCGCGTGCATCCCTTCGCAGGGCATTGTGGCGTTGGCAGGCTATTCGCTATTGTGGTGCTCCTTCCCCCCCCCCCATTTCGAGCCCTTCAGGAGACGAGGGACCATCATCCGTCCGTGTCGTCCGAACTGAAAAGATGTTTAGATATGGGCTGCGAGCTACAGGTCTACGAACACGACAACGGCGATGTGGAGCAAAGGCTATTCGTGAAGGGCAAGGGCTATCCAGGCCTTCTGATGACACGCACTTTAGGCGACTTGTCCGTGAAGGGCTGTGGCATCACCAACATGCCGGAGGTTGTGGAGTGGACAGCAGAGGAGGGAGTTTTCTTGTTGATAGCATCCGATGGACTATGGGAGCTTATTCCGACCGCAGAGATAGCGCAAGAGCTGTTCAGCTCGTTGGCGAATGGAATGTCACGGCAGAGCGCCGTAGAGAAGCTTGTGCTCAGAGCTAAAGAGATTTGGATGAGGGAAGTGGACGGTTACTGTGACGACATCACCGCCTTGCTCGTCCCATTGAGTCAGGATTTGGCCCCGCTCAGCAGTTCCCTGACGGGTGTTTGTGGAGCTGGTGTGTGCAAGGATACGTGCACGGTGTCTTAGATCAATGTCGGGTAATGCCCACATATTTTGCATGTGTCATTGAATTATTGTTTTATTACATGGACCGTTCAATTTTATCATCTTTCTAGTCATGGCCATGTTTCCGCCATGATGTCGTCACAGTATTCATCGCGACGACTGTACAATATTTGTACAACTGCCTGGCACTGCCTGGCCTATTCTTCTCACCACCAGCTTTCCCGTGTATAGCTATACGCCTTTTCTCCCTGATGTTCGGCAACATGGCCGTATAGGTCGGAGTCGGGAGATTAGCCGGCATTGTAAGTTATGAAGCCCGTCCGCAGGAGCGGACGGGCGATAGAACGTGTTTGTTGTTCATCTTATTTAATCGCTTCGCTCATTCCGCCGGCCCTCGAGCGCTCTATGGGGCCTCTTTGTAGCCTCTTGGGGGCCTCTTTGGGGCTCCTAGGGGCCTCTTGGGGGCCTCTTGGGGGTTTCTTGGGGCTGCTCGGCGGCGTCTTGGGCTCCCCCGGGGCCTCTTGGGGGGCTCCTGTGGGGCCCCTTGGGGCAGGAGGGGGGGGTAGTCGATTGCAGCCACCCCCTCGGAGGCCACGATCCTCGTGAGTGGTGGCGAAAAATAGCCTTTCCTCTCTGGGGATCGCCCGGGGGTCAGCCGGGGTTGGTCGGGGTATTGTTCGTCCGGGGGCCCCCAGGGGCCGCCCCGCGCGCGCGAACTAGAAGTATTGTTAGTAGTTACCGGAGATCTTAGCACGCCTCCGGCCCGTTGGGCCGGCGAATTCATGCCGTTTTGCCGTACTGCCCCCTGCACAGGAACCCTTGGCCGCCCAGCCGCGCGCCAGTGCGTTTCTATGTGAGGGGCGCTATCCCTGGCTTCTTCCCAGCTGCGGTGCTGGCTATCCAGCTGTATGCCGCAAGTCCCGCCAGCGTGCCAGCCCAGCACCTTAGGTGGTAATTCACAGGAAGCCGTAACGCGTGACACCACGTTCTTTGATGCTTGAGAGAGCCGTCACATATGACATGCTCTTCCGCGTCGTGCCCGTGCTTAATGTTAGTGTGGAGATGTTCATGGTGATGAGTCTGAGAATGATGAAGATGACGACGATGACGACGATGATGATGGTCATACTGATTATGTTGATGTTGTTGCTGATGGATATGCTGTTGCTGATGATGATGTTAGAGGTGGTGGCGTTGATGATGATAATGACGCTGATGATGCTGATGATGATGCTGTTGTTGGTGGTGGTGGTGATGGTGATGTTGACGATGCTGACGACGACGATTATGCTGTTTATGCTGATGATGATGATGATGATGATGACGATGCCATGGATGATAGCGATGATTGTGATGTTTATTGTGATGATGATGCTGATGTTGCTGATGCTGATGACGATGATGATGGTTGTGATTGTGATTATAAGGTTGATGCTGCTGTGACGACGATGATGATTGTGATGATCATGCTGTTGCTGCTGAAAGATGAAGGTGATGATGATGTCGACGAGGATGAGGAGAAGGAAGAGGATGACGAGAAGGAGGAGGACGAGGAGGAACGAGGAGGTGGATGATGATAACCACGTGATGGGCACGAAGGCGAGCAGAAAGAGAAGGCGACCTATGATGGTAAGATGCGGGGTAGAAATATGGAATGTGGATGAAACACATGATGATGGTGATGACGATGCTCATGGGTGATGATGGTGTGCAGCTGATGGTGGTTGTGATGGTAATGAGGATGAGGATGAGAAAGAGGCACACCGTTGCATGTGTTATCTTTCTCCTCTATCTTCCGAGAAGCTATCATGCAGCTCATTTCGGCTGTCTTGGTGCTGTTTTGGTTCCTGTGGGGTGACCCCCGACGAGAGCACCTAGTCGTTTTCGTCGTCGTCGTCGTCGTCGCGTCGTCGTCGTCGTCGTGGTGGTGGTGGTCGTCGTCGTCGTGATCGTCGTCGTCGTGGTCGTCGTCGTTCAGCATCTTCGCTGGGCCAGGGCCGACCCCTCGTTTGATTGCCCTCAGAAGTGGAGGCCGCAGACGCCACAAGAGGCTCCCGGATGCCTCCGGAGGCACCGACAGTTTCTGGAGGCCTGAAGCGGGCCAAGAACATGAATCTTCCTCTTCCTCTCCTCCTCCTCCTCCTCCTCCTCCTCCTCCTCCTCCTCCTCCTCCTCCTCCTCCTCCTCCCCCCCTGTTTCCCTCACCCCCGCCTCCCTCTCCCTGGCCTCCTTCCCCCCGCTGGGTCGCGGCTCCGACTCCGTGAGTGCGGAAGTGTTTTGACCATGAGCTGGCTCAGGGTGAGGGGCTCCTGGCGGTCTCCGCCAGCTTCGCCCAGAAGGCACGCGGGCCTCCGTCAAGCTGAGCGGTGGCGTGCGGAGCGGCCCCACAGCGGAGGTGAGTGTTGCCCCGGACGCTCGAGAGGTTCAAAAGCTGCCCATGCCGCTACCCGTCCCTCGTTCTCCCCTTCTTGGGCCTCCTGGGAGGCCCTCGTCGCCAACGCTGGAAGTTTGCCTCGGAACTCTGGCTGGGGGTGGCCTTGGACGCGGCACAGATACTCCCCCCGCCCCCCCCCCACCATGCCTTTGCAGGCCTGTGGGCCTGCTCCTTTTCCTTGCGCTCGTCCTCCTCCTCCTCCTCCTCCTCCTCCTCCTCCTCCTCCTCCTCCTACTCGCGGCCTCGGTCCTCGTCCCCTTCTTCTTGCTCCCCCTCCCTCCAGCGTACTGCTATCCATGGCGTGCGGCTCTTTTCCACTTCCTTTCAAGCTGAGCTACCCCTCGCTCTTCGAGGGAGGCCCTCTCCCCCTGTGGACGAGGCCCCCTCGTCGACTTTCTTCCTCACATCCCCTGTAAGCTCGGGGGTGGACAGACCCCCTACCCTGACACGTCGATTAGCGAATTGGTCGTTTTCGGTTCGCGAGAGGGCGTCGCGGCCGTCATTTTCGCGGGTCCAGGTCCGTCGGTTTCGGTCCCAGGCCGTTTTCACTAAAGGGAGGTTGACTAAAGGGAGGTTTGTCCACCGCCGATAAGCCCCCCCGCCGCCTGGAGGTGACTGCACGGCCCCAGTCAGAGGGGCCATCTTGTTTTTTTCCAAGCCCCCGCCTCCCCCAGACTGGCCCGGGGGGCTCTCGACCCCTCTTCCGAGGAGCGCTCGCTCTCGCTCTCTCTGCCCCTCTCCCAGCCCCTCTCTCCCCACCCCTTCCCGCGCCAAGGCGCCCTCCTGATCCCCCTCGAGGGGGCCCCTTCTCTCTCTCTCTCTCTTTCTCTCTCTCTCTCTCTGGGAGGATCTCCCTCCCCCTCTCTTGGAGGATCCCACTCCCGCCTCCTTCGAAGGCCTCCACTCTCCTCAGGTCACTCGCCCCCTCCTCTCCGAGAGGCCCCCCTCTCTCCTGGAAGGCCGCCTCCCCCCCCCCCCGCCCCTTCAGGCTCGATGCCCCCTCCAAACCCACTTCGAGGCCTCCATTCCCCTGAACAGGGCCTTTTCTCCTCCATTTCAAAGTGCTGGACGACCATGTTGCCAAATCACGTCCACATATATAGATGTGATTTACCTGTCTGACACATATGAAAAAGGCTTGAATCATATTTGTAACATGTTCAATATGTCTTGAAGTGGAGGGCGGACTGAGAACAAAACCAGGAAACGAGAAGACAAGGCAGAAGCGAAACACACCGTTTAGGTCGAGCCCTGCCCTCCAACAAGGCCCCCCCTGCCATCCCGTCTAGGCCTCCTCGGAATTGTCCAAGGCCATTTCAGGAGCTCCTCGCGTGTCCCCGCGGCGGCGCCCTCCCCCTTCTAAGGCCCTCCCTTCTCGCCCTCTTCCAAGGCCCTCTCCTTTTTGCGGCGCCCACCCCCCTTCCGATGTGCTCTAGCAAGGCCCCCCCCCCGCCACTCCTCCGGGGCCTATTCGGAGTTGGTTCAAGGGACGACGCGCTCAAGAACATATCATACTAGTCTTACTCGCATCTTTTGATTTTCCTATCCCCCTACAGCCCATCCATCCTCGTCATACACTTCCCACTCTCTGTGGCCCATCGCCATGGCAGCAGGTCCTGCAGGGGTCAACTCTGTGCGACCGGCCGGTGGAGAACCCAAACGACCTGGCCACTCCTCCTCCTCCTCCTCCTCCTCCTCCTCCTGTTCCTCCTCCTCCTCCTTCTCCTCCTCCTCCTTGTCCTTCCCCTCCCTCTCCTCCTCCTCTCCTCCTCCTCCTCCTCCTCCTCCTCCTCCTCATGTTTCCTTAGCCATATTGACTCTAGCCTGCCTTGGGCGCCGTGCGGGCGGCAGCGTTGGGTCTCTGCCGCGGCGGCGAGGGCTCCCCATGGGAAGGCTGCGGGCGGGAGCAGGGCAGCCGACGCGGCGGCGGAGCTCCCCGAGATTGCAGCGGCTGCGACGTCGCCTTGGCCGACGCGGCGTGCCAGGCAAACCGCTGCTCGCGGGGCTGCGGCTGGGCGCCTGACGGCAGGGCTGCGGCGGGTCCTCGACTTCGAGGCGCTCGTGGAGGGCTTGCAAGCCGACCTGTGCCACTCGGTGGCGGCGGGCGAGGCCGCAGCCCTTTCTGCATCCTGTGCCGCCTCGGTCCCCGCGCGCGGCGGAGCCGAGGCTGATGGAGTGGGGGCCGCCTGCGGTGCTCCCGATCCGACGGCCGCCGCGGCTGAGCTCGTGCAGGATCGTCGCGCCCGTGCTGAAGGCGTACATCGACGGCACGGATGCGAGCGCCATCGGGGTGGGGAGGCGCAGAGTGGTTTCCCACCACCACGTCCTTCCCGCCGCGGTCGTGCGCGCGTTGCCTCAGCGCGACCTCGATTGAGTTCAGCGTGAGGCGCGGCGCGCATCCACCATGCGGGGGAGGCGCAGCATGCCCTGTGGGGGCTGTCGGCGCTGGCGCCGAGGGCTCCAGCAGGGCGGCGGGCTGCGGTGCCGCCGCGAAGGCCCAGACCGTCGAGGAGGTGGCCGTCGCTGCATCGGCGGCTGCCCGCGGGTCGCTCGGCGTTCGACGCGGCGACGCGGCGCCTACCGCCTG